CCAGTACTGTCCAGATAGATTACAGCAGCAACAACCACAACAGCAGCCACAACTACAGCCAAGACAGCAGCCTCCAAGACAGCCGCAGCAGCAGAGGCGAGCGGGACAGCAGGCTCATGTATATGCTGTGGGTCAGGCCGAAGCAGAGCAGAACCCAGGTACTATGTCTGGGATAATTATTATTAATGATGTACCTATTTTCGTTTTATTTGACACCGGGGCGACACATTCCTTCATATCAAACCGATGTCTGGATGTCATTGGAGTGCGATCTGTCAGCACTGTCAACTCTCTTGAGGTAAGTTTGGCCTCAGGAAGGAAGATAGTGACGAATTCAAAAGCCGAGAATCTTAGCCTTTCTGTTGGCGGCCGAATTTTGGAGGCCGATGCTTATGTTATCGAGATGAGGGATTTTGTCCTCATTCTCGGTATTGATTGGTTAACCCGTTTTCATGCAGATATTCGTTGTCACGACCGGGAGATTACTCTTTATCTTCTGGAGGAAGTTTGTATGTTGAAAAATCATTTTTCATTCAATCATTCTTAAACATATGCATATTCACTAAATTTTTCCTCTTTATTTTTTTTAATATTGTAACCATAGTTTTTAAACCCGGCCCGGTAATCGACCCGGGGAGGTCTTCGGGTCACCGGGTCACCGGTTCAACCGTCGGGTCACCGGGTCAATTGCTGAACCGGATAATTAATTTTAAAATTTATAAAATTATATATATAGTATTTTGTGATATATAAATATACATAAAAATAACAAATTTAAATATTTTGTATGTAAAATTTGTAGATTAAAGTGGTAATAATATGTATATATTTATCATATAAATATATATACATAATTTTATTTTTTAAAAAGAAAAATAAAATTAAAAAACAAAAAAAAAATAAAAAAATACATATAGACCGGGTCAACCGGGTTGACCCAGCCGGGTCAATGCCCCGGGTCGACCGGGTCAAGGCCGGGTTTTGACCGGGTTTGACCGGGTCCGTTGTTGCCCGGTCCAATTAATTTACCCGGACCGGTTCCGGCTCCGGGTCGACCGAGTCCCGGGTCGACCCGCCAGGCCGGTCCGGGTCACAAAACACTGATTGTAACAAAAAATCTCTATAGTAACAATATGATAGTTGGAAATTATAGATGGGTATTTTCATTGATGCATATATATTTTACACTTATGAAATAAAAATATTTTATTTAAAATAATATATTCTCTTACATTTAAAAACTACCTTTAAAATAACCAAACTGAAACTTAACGTCATAGGTCGTATACAGACTAATTATGATTAATATAATTTAAAATATATTATTTATTTAAAATCTATCAATTTGCGTAGATAATCTTTTTGTATGTGTAAAAACTTAAAGATATAATTAAGTATAAAAAATAAAAGATTATGAACATAAGTAAATTAAGAAATGAAAGTTTAAAAATTTAACAAATATTGTTAGTTGTAACTTCTTAACATTAATAAGAAAATTACATTCATAACTTTAAAACTTATCTTTAGTAAGGGCATTTTTGGCACTTCAAAAGTTTCAAGAAACTACTCATACTTTTAAGGGAGTTATAGATAGATAGATTATAGATTATAGATTATAGATTATAGATAGATAGATTATAGATATAGATTATAGATAGATAGATAGATAGATAGATTATAGATAGATTATAGATTATAGATAGATATAGATTATAGATAGATAGATTATAGATTATAGATTATAGATATAGATTATAGATAGATTATAGATATAGATTATAGATATAGATTATAGATAGATTGGTTCACATCTCAACATTTATCGCCCAATCTATACTAATAATTTTTTATTACTAGGTAAAGTTCACATCATAAATATTTATCCAACAATTTTTTACACTAAAAAACACACGTAAGTAAGATATTCTTTAGTAGGAGTGAGTGTTAATTAGTATAGCAACAAATTAAGTTGCATATATATATATGATGATGATATCGAGTACTTTTTCCAAACTAGTTGGAAGATTTTCCGTGAAACAGTTGCTTAGTTTTAGCTCTCATCTCAGCCGTCATGAGCTTGCTTGCTTGCTTTTAATTGGTCATCAAACATACTTATATATATATATATTTTTTTTTTTCTGGGTTGTTGCTATGCATATATAACTCAACTGAATATTGCTGCATAATCTATCTATCTAACTGATTAATAATAAAAAGAATAAAGAATGGCAACGTACGTAAAATTCTGAAAAGAAGGCCCCGCACCAATATTTCAGGGATTGCGCGCGCGCGGAGGGGTGAAAGTTGGAAGAAAAAGTCGTCTCCCTTTATTCTTCAGTATAATAATTAAATCATCAACAGCTAGCGCTTGAATATATGATATGGATTAATTAATGGCCGCCAATATTAACAATTAAATCAGGAGAGCATATATGGCTAATAATAATTATAAACTCATCAGCTGCTCCTCATGTTGCCCCACACCATCGCTTTTCTACTCATCTGTTTTCCTAATCTTCTTTTTCTATTGCCTCAACACTCAGTTCCAATTCCTTATTCCTTTTTCTTCTTCTTCTTCTTCTTCTTCTTCTTCTTCTTCTTCTTCTTCTTCTACTCACAAACAACAACAACAGGTATCTATCTCTCTATCTATGCATAATAAGTGCTAGGCTAGCCTAGCTAGCTACTACTTGCATGTTAATTACATCCATTAATTTCCATATATGTGTTTTAATGATTCCCTCTTCTCTTGGTTTGGCTGCAGAAGAACATCGACAAATTAGAACAACAACTGGCGAAAGCTCGAGCAGCCATACGCGAAGCTGCACGAAGATCATCTAGTTGCTCGGTTAACTACATTAGCCACAATGAGTTTATTCCAAGAGGCTCCATTTACAGAAATCCTCCTGCTTTTCACCAGTTAAGTTTATTATGACCAATTCATTCAATCAAAGAAAAATTTAATAAATAAGACTTGATGAGTTGACTGATCAGCAATAAATGTATTATTAGTACAACCCATGTTTGTTTAATTTAGATTTTTGTCCCTGTTCCAATATGATAAATTAGGAGCTACATGGAAATGGAGAAGAGGTTGAAAATATGGGTGTACAGAGAGGGTGACCCTCCACTATTTCACAGGGGGCCAATGAAAGATATATACTCGATCGAGGGGCACGTGATAGACCAACTGGATAGGGATAACCCACACCGTATGTATGCAACAGCCCAGCATGCAGACGAGGCCCACGTCTTCTTCCTCCCCATTGGCTTCACAAATATAATTCATTACATGTACACTCCTCGCGTCACCTATGATCGCCGGCCTATGCAGAAGGTCGTGGAGGATTACATCCATCTTTTGGCCCATAAATATCCCTATTGGAACCGGAGCCAAGGAGCCGACCATTTCTTAGTCGCATGTCACGACTGGGTAGTTACTAAATACTAATCATCATCATCATCATCATCAACTACTACATACACACTATATCTAGTAGTAATATTATAATTCCATTTGCATTGTAGGGACCAGAAGTGTCGGCTGCCAATCCCGAGCTCTTCAAAAACATGATCAGAGTCCTCTGCAACGCAAATGTTTCGGAAGGTTTCAGCCCATCACGAGACGTATCCTTGCCCGAGATCAAAATCCTAGATGACATCGGGCTTGGCCCACCAGACTTGAGCTGGCAGCCCGAACAAAACAGGTCGGCCCTCGCCTTCTTTTCTGGTGGACCCCACGGCCATGTGAGGGAGGCGCTATTCCGGCACTGGCAAGGCAGAGATGAGGATGTGCGTGTGTACGAGTACATACCCAAGGACATGAACTACTTTGAGCTAATGTCGCGCGCTATGTACTGCCTTTGCCCGAGTGGGTTTGAGGTGGCAAGTCCCAGATTGGTGGAGGCAATGCATGCCGGATGTGTGCCAGTTGTCATCTCTGACGGTTACCCGCTGCCTTTTGGGGATGTTCTTGATTGGGCTAAATTCTCTGTCCATATTCCGGTGAGGCGGATACCCGAGATTAAGAAGATACTACAAGGGATTCCGAGGGAGGAGTATTTGGAAATGCGGAGACAGGTTTTGAAGGTGAAGAGGCATTTCGTTCTTAACAGGCCAGCTCGATCCTACGATCTCTTAAATATGGTGCTTCATTCGGTTTGGCTCAGGCGCCTCAATGTCAAGTTATAAATCATTACATCCATCCATCCTTCTGCAGATTTCTCTCTAGGGGCTGATATAATATTTTGAATCCTGATTAATGTTCATTTTTTTGGGGAGTGGTTGGTTTATGAAATGGGAACAGTAGAGGATGTTCTTGCAGCATTAAACTTTTACGTGCAACATTATGCTAGCTTGCTGTTGTATAAAGTAATTTCCTTATAACTGTGTGTGAATTGTGATGCAAAAGGATCAATGCACTGAGCCCCTCCTCAATCACGATTTCGTATATATATATATATATTTTTATTTTTTTTCCACATTGAAATGTTACATGGACAAGACGAGTTCAATCTTCGCATCTCCTTGCTCGTTTTTCGTATTGAATGCAAATCAATTCATGTAGAGTTAACATCATTTATAAACCAGGGCTGGACCAGATAGAAAATAATACCTTGTGCATGTATGTCAAAGGATGACAGTAAAACAGACAAATACATAATACACACAGAATGCTGCTTTTGTGTAAAATGAGGTACCTAAATTAAGTATACTTCATTCCTATATATGTGGTAAGAGGGAAGAATACAAACAAGAGAATTCCATATATAGGAATCCACTCATTGGATTTTAAAGTACCAGAAACTCTCCTTTCTTCCCCACAAAATATGGATGCACCTCTCTTTCTTGATGCGCATGGAAGACTATTTTCTGCAACAAAATACAAATGCATATCGCTTAACATCCGCACGTGCATGTTCGCATATACCTTTCTCCCTAAATCCTCTTCTCTAGAAACTAGAGAAAGAGATAAGGGATTGTATTAAATATATCATCGAATGGCGATTCTGTATGGTGTTGTGGCGCGTGGGTCAGTTGTGCTAGCAGAGTCAAGTGCCACGTCATCAACCACCGCCAATACAGTGGCCCGCAAGATCTTGGAGAAGATCTCAGGCGCTAATCACGATACCAACGTCTCGTACTCACAGGATCGCTACATTTTCCACGTCAAACGCACGGATGGCCTCACCGTTCTCTGTATGGCAGAAGACAACACTCAGCGTATGTGAACCCAACTTTTCTCTGTATCAATCAATTAATAATGCTATTGCTGCACTTTTTTTTATTGTATTGAATGAATAAATTCTTCAGGGAGAATTCCTTTTGCATTCCTTGAAGAAATTCACCAACGATTCGTGCAAACATATGGGCGAGCCGTGCTGACTGCCCAAGCCTATGCAATGAATGATGAATTCTCGAGGATTCTGAGCCAACAAATGGAGTATTACTCAAGGGACCCTAATGCTGACAGAATTAACCGTATCAAAGGCGAAATGAGTCAGGTGAAGATCAACAAGAAAATCCATATGTTTACATTTTATAATTAGTTGTAGCAAGATTTGTTGTTAAACTCATTATTGCAGGTGCGAAGTGTGATGATAGAGAATATTGATAAAGTTTTAGAGAGAGGAGATCGACTGGACTTATTGGTCGGTAAGACGGCATATATGCAAGCCAACAGTTTTCGCTTCAGAAAACAGAGTCGCCGTTTGAGAAACAACATCTGGTGGAGAAATGTCAAGCTAATGTGAGTAACTTGCATGAAACACACCAACTATTTGCTGCTATCATGATTCATTTACAAAAGATGATATCCATCATTCTCTTTTTGTGATTGTTTTTGCAGGATGGCATTGATTTGCCTTGTCTCGCTAACAGTTTACGTTCTTATGGCTTTTGTTTGTCATGGCCTTACACTTCCATCTTGTCTGAAATAAGAGTCTGATCTAGCGGGCACCCAGATTACATTTATGTTATTCTACTTCACATCGGTAGATAGCTAGTATGCTTTCCTGTAGAATCATGAACACTGTTTCCTTTCTCTACTCTTATTAATCAACAGAGTACATACCATTTATCTTAAGAATACACATTGAGATTTCATACATTTTTCCACTTGCATCTCAGAGTACAACAGACCTGATGGACTAACTGAAAGACATGGCGAATGGAATTCGATCAAACTCATTGTTTCATACATTTAGAATTTACGAGAAGAGGAAAAGAACAAATCACACGTCATTTCTACTCTGTAGAGAAACAATGGCTGAAAAATGTAATTTGGCAATCCTACAATCTAATTGCTCTATGGGAGAGTTCTCACCCAAACTGCCGGCACTGAGATTTTACTCTTCTTTCAGTTCAAATCAATCAGCATCGACTAGTGTGGGAGCAATTTATGGTTTGTTTCTAGCTCACGATTTCAATTAATGTTATAGCAGCAAAGACGAGGAAGAGTACACCACCAATGTATGCAATAACCTGTTCAACGCACAACAGTGCCAGCAACGAAAAGATAAATAGAAGTCATGTTATTTTAGCTAAATACACGCAAAAGAGAAGGAAAAATAAAAATGAAAAAACAAGAAACAGACGCAAGAACAATTTTCCTTTCTGCATAGATCACCAAAGAGTAAACTAATAGAACAGTACCTTCTCAGAGAGGTATGTTCCCATGAAAGATCCTCCCAAAACAGCAAGCTGCAAATGGAGTTGGTACCACTTAAAAATGTGGATCAGATGATTGATTCAAAAGAGAAATAGTGCAGCAGAACAATATACTCATAGTACTACTGTTTTTAATTGATCTAACTAACGTAAACTAATAGTGGTGGTAAAGAAGTTTGACTATTTATAAAGCTCGGAATTACCAAAGTTGCGACTCCATGACCAGCAAGTGCCCCTGCAATGACTCCAAGAGGAGATGAGGCCGCAGCAAGAGCTGAAAATGTTATTGTAAATTTAAATAACGCTGTTGTATTAATATTTTTATTACACGGTTTGACTTCACTGAGTATTGACTCTCACCTATAGTGGAGAAGAATGATTTGTCACCCCACTCAGCAACAAAAACCAACAAAAAAGTACTCAAGACCGTGTTAGCAGCAGACAAAATGCCCGCACCTGATCCTGAAAGCTCTGAAACTGCAAGCTCTGCCTGTTAGGACAAAACCAAACATTTTTCTCAAGTCCCAAGTGTATTTTGGTTATCACCACGCACATATCAAGTAAATTCTAAGTAAATTCAAATGGGATCATAGATAAATTAACCATCACGCACGCCATACCTCCTTTTGTTCCTCTTCCAATTTCAGGCCTTCACTTGAGGAGGCTTCCAGCAAGGATGAAACACCAAAATATACCTATAATCGGAGCAAGTTTCTCTATAAAGTAAAGCTAGTGACAATGAAAGAACTGTAGATATGTTGATTGGTGAGCGAGTATTGCTACTTTGTTTGTCATCGCCAATTCCTTACCAGAAGGCAAACTGCAGCAATATCATCAATTGGTAAATCAGCATCTCCCAACCTAATGTCATAAAAACATTATAATTACAAATAACAAAAAGGAAGAAAAATGAAACACACACACACACACACAAAAGAGGCTGCTTTAGTGTGTGTATGATATGGGTAAGTGAAAACCTGAATGGAAGAATATCATCAACATAGTGAAATGTCCGTCCAACAATGACAGATATGATCGTCATTACCCTGTTCCCATTGCAAGACAAATTCTCAGAACCACTCTACAATAATGCAGATTCAATGAGTGGTACTTTGGACCACTCTTACAAGTTACAACATCTAAGTTTTGGGAACCACAAACAACAAGCCTACTCAACTTCATATATTAGCAGTGAAGTTAAACGCGAGGATTTCCCTTTGCAAGGGTTTAAAATTTCATTTCAAACATTAAAAAAAAAAAGCAATAGAAGCTTAGCTATACTTTCTCTTAATATATTGATCGAAGAAAACTAGTAGTCACTCTGCAAAATATTGGAACGGAAGCATTCACCATTGAAGGATTATATATTATTGTCACCCCCCAAGAAACAAAAGGAAAGAGGAGATAAGGAAACCAAGTGAGCTAATTAAACTTGTATTAGGAAAATATGAAGATATTCACAACTGAAAATCCATATCAAACAACGTACCCTAGTGCACCGAATGTCCCTATGAATGTGACAACAGCAGAATTTTTAGCTGCTAGGAGTGCCTGCTCAGATGACAGACTTAGTCAATGTTAACCCAAGAACAAAAATTATCAATCATATATGAATATAGTGTGGAAAATTGAAAAGTAGTAGTTGGAAACGCTTGTAAGCAAGTAGTATAAAGTGTTCCAATATGTAATTTCATTTTACAGGAAAAGGGATTGATTTTTTTGTAACACCGAAAATTTCATAACTGCATTGATGTGCGTTCAATGAAGAGAAGTCTGTATTATTTTCTTACCGCGATAAAGAAGGTTTTATCGCCGAGTTCGGAGAAAAATATCAACAAGAATGCCTGCAGATAAAGAGAAGAATGCATTTGTTAAGTTTATTATCCAGTAATATTTATCTAATAGTGCGAACCATTCAATGAAAGAGATTTTGGGTGAATAAACAGAGTTTTAAAGGAGAATTTCCTAACTGAAGCAAAACCTGTGCTAATATCGCCGACATCCCCTAAGAATGAAAAGGACTGCCGGACATCCGCACCAGCAAGCGCTTGTTGAGTAGTTTGAAGAGTAAAAAATCCACACATCAGCATAAGTTTCAGATGACCAAGTGATTGAGCATTCTGAGGTCGGTCATCCAATAAAGTTGAATATTTATTCCACGCCCCACCAAAGGATGTGTGTTTTCTCGGTGATCTGCCAAGTTTAGTAGCATGAACCAGTAGCTTGTGATTGTAATGTTTCTCCTTTGAAGTCATAAGCTCCTGAGCGGATTCAAATAAGTGAGCAAGAAAAACAAAGAAGTAACGATGGAATATTTTGATAACAAAAGAATGAATAGTGTGGCAATAAGAATGAATATGCAATTACAGAAGTTCTTTATTCAACCTTATCTAAGAGCTTGGAACTATAAGAAGGCTTTCCAGCAAAAAGCTTCCCTACAAGCATGACAAATGAGCATCATAGAACATAAAAAAAGAAATATATGCTGATATAGAAGCATGCTCTTCTGTTAATGAAACCTACAATTAATATTATAAGCAACGAAACTCATCCTTTTTCCAAAAGGGAACGTTTATCTACACATAAGTTAGTCTCATCCTCTTCGAAAAGGGAACGTTTATCTACACATAAGTTAGCTCTTATGATCAGATATCCTTCTCCACCATACATTAACACGGCAAGTCTTCATCAGCTACACTCCAAAATAGTAAAATGGACACAAACGCGATCAACAGCCACATGGTAGATATAGAATTCTTGAGTCCAGTTACCACTACAATATGAAGCTAAACTTGGTTGTTATTTAATTTTGTGTGCAGCTACTTCCAACCATTTATTTGATAAGTTGAAAAAGTAACTCTCCAAATCAATAATGACTAATGATATGGTACCAACTCCTGAAAACCTGATTACTTGAACATTACCAGGAATCTCAAATTTACTCAGGAACCCACTAAAGGCAGAGAAGAAACAAAAAAGGAAAAAAAAAAAATAGACTACAAATCATCTACCACATCCCAATCCAGCTAACGGGTGGGTCAGTCAGAGAGCAACAAACAAAATCTAATGCAGCCTATCAACAAAGCATTTGCCAAACAATTCAGCTAAAGCAGTAATCTTTGTATTTTTTGCTTCTGAAGAAAAAAAAAGTAGGAAAAAACTATGTACAGAATATCTTAATTTCCTAAGCAAAACAAGTAAACAAAGGGAAGATAGAAAGGGAAATGAGATGAACAGATTACTCGTAAAATGAAAGTGGTCGGGAAGATGGAAAGCGAAGCAGGGATTATTGTGGGGATCAGCTGAACAGGTTCTTGGAAGGGAATTGTGATGAACACCCGACAGAATATAGACCATTTTTGTGAGTAAGGAAAGGAAGTGCAGTGAGTGAAGGAGTTGACGGGATTGGTTTGGATTGGATGGAGCCATAACACAAACAGTGGCTGAAATTTTTATAAGCAGTTGTGTGTGTCAGTGTGTGTGTGTGTGTGGTGGGAAATAGATAGCTATTCTCATGAGTCAGCAAAAGTCACTCTTTGTTCTGTACGATCATTTTTAATTATGATGAGAGTCGTGTTTATCCTTCATTTCTTTAAGCATAATGTAGTTTTTCTTTTGCACTACTCTTTGTTCTGTACGATCATATTTGGTAAGAGAAACAATAATTTTTTTTTAAAAAAAAATAAGAAATATTATATTATATTTATTCGGCAGTTATTATATCCTATATTTAGATTATCATATCATGTGGCCACAAAGCCCCAAATCTGCTATTTTTAACTTTATAATATATTCCAACTCATTTATGCATATAACTAGCTAGCACATAACCGTGCAATATATGTAATATTATTTAATATTACATTTATTTATTTTGCTTTATATAGAGTATCATTTTAAGGTTATTTCACAATTTTCATTCATAAAATTTGGTATTAGAAAAGAAAAGAAGAAAAGGAAAAATTGAAGTCAGATTGGACAATTGGATCCATTCTTCTTCTATGTAACTAATAATACCAACGCAATTTCTTAAAAAATAAATTGGTAAATTTTTCCAGTGAACAAAAACTTATAATAATAATAATTCAGCAGTTGTAGATAACTCTGAAATGCCATAGTACTGTTGCACCTGATTTTCTTTTCATTATAATAACTGTAGTTTTCAGTCAGTCACTATAAAATCAATCATGCCAACACACTTGAGGGATTATTATATAAAATTGCGTAAATGGCTGATATTTGTGTGTTCTCAGCTTAGCCGCAGGTCAGTCCTTACTCCTTGACCTTAGACCATGAAAGAGTAAAGCTGGCGAGAAGCTTTTTTACCCAGCACACAAAATAAATCTTGTTTCCTTAACAAATATGATCCTCACCTCAGCAAGAATGACATACCTCAAACCCCTCTACACCGTCTGTATATTTCTAATTTCAAGTACCTTAATATATGGAACTATAGTCCGCGTAAAGATTGCAGTTGAGCATCCTAAGGAAGTCAGATTAGTAGTCTCTCTACGGGCAACAAGAATCTTCTTTTAAATAGCCCAGTGGTCACTGTGTATCATAATCGACATCAAGTTGAAACTTGGATGGCACGTCATTTCCCAATAAGCTTATAATACGCGTACATGCCCGACCCAATGAAGCCAAGAAGCTGCCCAATCACATTCAACTGCACCACATCCACAAAAAACGTAAGCCACCCCTCATTCATTTGCATAACCAGGCCATCAAATACAGTGTTTATAATATATATATATAATATGATCACTTACCATATCAAATGGCAGTCCTCCAAAAATTACCCAGCCCACAGTAATCGTGAAAAGATCCTACACAGGAAATGCATCCAACTTATGTATAAATGTTAAAAATGGTCGTCAGCTAAGATAATTTCACCCATGTTTATATTTACTGTACAAAGGTTGGATGATAATTTCTGAACCAGTATCGGACTAAACTTCAGATCTCCATTTTTCATCGCATGAGAGATGATACAACCCTCTGGCAGCATTAAGGGTGAAACAAAAGCATTTCAAAAGAAACCAGGTGTAATTCTGAACAAACCTTCAAATTGCCACAGATTGTCTGTGTGAGAGCAGAATTCAGAGTCGTATTGAGGAATATGCAATAGTTCAAGAAGAAAGCTAGTATACACGACAAAGCCAACACCACCTGACATCAGGAGAAGTAGCGACCAAATTATTTGCTTGTAAGAAAAACTCTAAGCATAAGCATATATACTTGTCCTTCAGAAAGAAAGAATAAAAAAAAAATAAAAAAAGGTTTATGAAGTTATGACAACATTTGTAGCATGGTTATGACAATTATTAACAGATAATCAGGGAATAAGAAGGTGATGACATGAAGAGAAAGAACGGTATTTAGAAACAAATAAGACAGTGTTTTCAGCTTATTTGGCATCATTAACAGGCAAAAGGGGACTAAATTACTAATAGCGTTTGCCAACCTATCTCATCTGGAAACAAAAACAAAAGAATAGCTAAGATATATATATATATATATNNAAAAAAAAAAAAAAAAAAAAAGTAGAGAGTGTTACAAAAAGAAACAGTCATGGGTTTATGTTAAGGTACAAAAAGAGAAAGAGTTACAAAGAGAAACAGTCGTGGGTTTATGTTAAGGTACAAATAGCAACCAATATTACCAGGAAATCAGGAGAAAGCAAATATGGAAAATTCATTGTCATCGCCAAGTCACCGTGTATAAGGGTCCAAAGAAACAAAACAGGTCCGCACAAAATTCCTACAAAGAATAGTCACTCAACTTAGATGAAAAAGTGAGGGGTGCATGAGAGCTTATTCCAAGGTCTGCCTACACACCGTTGCACCACATGAGGCCAAAGCTGTTGAGCCCACTTGATTTTCCTGGAAAAATAAGATATCAGAAAAAATCAAAACAAAAAAAGAAAAATAAAAGAATGCAAAGAGAACATAGTCACCAAAAGCTAAAGAAGGGATACCAATGCGGGCTATGGTCGCCAGGTATATTGCTGTTGTAATGTTGGACATGACAACAACGAGATAGCCATACGAGTCAAAAGACAAGTCTCGAGCTCCAGCAACAAAAGCACCCAGAACTATCAATCCCACACTGCCAAAACCATAATTATTCGTTAGGTTGATAGAATTAATGCAAAATGAGTAAGTTCAAGCAGAGTTAGCATTCACTGCCGCATATCTGTCAATCCACTTCAATCTACAACCCTAAAACATGCTTCTCATCAATTTCATCCACGGGACTTATGGCGCCATATGCCATATTGAATTAGTGATGGTTTCTTTATTTCTTTCACAACTTGGTTTGCCTTTTGGGAAAAGCAAAATACTACATTTAGCTTCATAAGACTAAACATTCATTTATTATATTATTCTATTTAACTAAAAATCTAAATTGATTTTCATAATTATTGGTTGTTTATAAATCTTCAACAAACGTTCCCTTTTCTTTTTAACATATCACAAGTCAAAGTGAAAGCAATATACATAACTATGAAATCGGCAACACAATAAGAGCTCCATTTACCTTCCAACAATAGGTCGGGTATATCTCTGCCTCACAAGGATGTACTCAACAATCATTGTAAAAACAACTGTAGTTCTCCGCAAGGTTGTATACATAGGAACATTAACCCCTCGAACGGACTCCATGGTGACTAACTTTTCAAGATAATAAAGAAAATTTGTGAATGCTTTTCTTCATGAGGAAAATGTTTCAAATCACAAAAGGATGAATGGAAAAAACTGTACCATGTAGAGCAAATAAGATAAAGCAAGAGGTGAAGTATTGACCAATGTCTTTATTGGTACTAATGTTCTGGAACTCTCGTTGATGGCTATCGAATCGCTCGCATTAAAAGTAATGAGCTTTGAGCGTCGAAGAACATAAAGAAAACAACAAGAACACATCATCTGCAGCAGATACAGTTAATGAAATTTTTTAATACGTGAGAATGAAGAAATGGAACTGTGTAAGAGATGGCTGATTGCATCAAGGAACCAACCGTAAATCAAATTTGATTAGCGACAAGGAAGCAGGTTAGCAAATATACCTGACAAAGAGTTATGACGTTGGCACTTGGGAAGCTGTATGAAGAAAGAGCTGCTTTATTGAATAGTACCAAGAGCACTGCAAAATTAATCAGCTTTGTTCAAGAATTCCAGATATTTTGACTTCCAAGTTTAGGCCCTTACCTTAATACACACAAAAGTACATTGAGATTTATACATATTAATTCTAACTAAAACCCGTGTACCATATGTAAATGACACAAACATATCATAAAACCTCAGTTGCCTCGAGAACATCAGGTAATAAATCCAAATATTCAACAGATCGTCCTCAAACAAATCTAACAATCCAATCTTGAGTCGGAGCTCATAATAACGATATAATCTAAAATGTGGATGCAGATACACTTATACTGTAATTAATATTACCTGGAATATGCAAAACCCACATTGTTCAAGTATTCAAAATCTAGTACTCACAGTGTTCAATAAGTACCAGAATACAGAAAAATATATATTCAAACTTCACCAGCCAACGGAAACTAATAAACAAAAAAAGATAAATATTCAGCTAAACATAACAGAGTAACATCCCATAATGAGCTCCCATTGGTTCTTCTCGGGGAGAAAAAAGGAACAGCAGAAATTTAATTCCGAGTTATACTTCTCACAAGCAAACAAATACGCCGGAAGCACCAATAATGATAAGCAAATTTCAATTTTCTTTTTCCATAAAAAAAAAAATAAATAAAAAATACCAGCACAAGTCATGTAAGAGATAGCAGCATACGCGCCGCGCTTAGTCATGGTGGATCCTTTAAAAAGCTTGTCTTCCCCTCCTCTTGCCTGATGATCGGTCGACGCCATTGGTAGAATCGAATTGCTCTTCGAAATTGCAGCCATAGATTTTTTTTCAAGGCGTCTGTTCTCCAGTTTCTACAGGGATGACTCGACTTTTTTGAGGATGATGGAGAAACTGTACAAACAGTAAAACGTGTATAAACATACCTAAATAAATATAAAGTATATAAAAACTAAGATAAAAATTTATTTACGGTTTTATATAACTATTAAATTCTTAATGTTTAAATTCGCTTTGACGATATTATCGCGTTCCTGATTTTTACTTGGGAATTGTTAGATTTAGTTTGGTAATTTTATTTTCAAAAACAATTACATGTTTTTGGAATCCTCTGCATTTGTTTTATAGTACATACCCGTGCATTGCACGGAACATAGATATTAAATAATTTATTTTCACAGATTTTGTTCGTTTAAGTCTAAAATAATAGGGTTATCATACCTCTTTCAATCAGCGTTAAATCTATAAACAAAAATAGGGTTATAATATATTTTCTACATCTTTCAATGATGTTATACATAACATTAAATATAAACATATTAGGGGTAGCTTGTAAAATAATTAATATATTATCTATACATATTTAATTTTTTTTAATCGGTTATACATATTTATTTCTTGATATCAAATAAAATAAACAAAAATGTTTGACTATTTGAGTATTAAATCAGCACTAATTAATTTATTAAGCAAGTAAAGATGCAAAGCAAGACAATTTAATTATCTAGCAGTTTAGGGTAATATATAGTTGTTTCCTTTATTAAGCATGATTTTTAAAAATAAAATAACATCAGCCCCAACTAATGGGCAACATTCACGGTTTTGTTGAAAACCAAAATAACAACATTCTTAATTAATGAGTAGCATTTAATGTTGTCTTTTTATTAAAAAAGAAAAAAAAAAGGAAAAAGAAAAGTTACTAAGAATGGAATATAAGTAATGCAAAATGATTTTGACCAAAGTTTGACCTGCTATTTTTGAAAAATGATAAATCTTTTTATATATAGATTTATGTTATCTTTAATGCGCTCAATGTAAATTTAAAATCAATTTGATATTCAATATAATGTCATTTGTTTCCTTTTAAATTCCATGGTAATTGAATTAATTTCTCAATAGATTAGTACATAATTTTTCAAGCATATGCAATAAATAATATTTCTCAATAGATTAGTACATAATTTTTCAAGCATATGCAATAAATAATTTTTACACTATCTTTGATAAATCAAGCTAATAAGCTAGTTGATAGCTGATAAGTTAATTTCGAGCTCATATATGATATTTTATCGTTGAAAACTCGTATAAAAGTGGTTGGTAAAATTAGTTGATAAGTCAACTTAATTGACAGACTATCCAAAAAAATTTATAAGATAAACTTGAACTTTTTAAAAATTGAGTCATATACTAATCCAAGAGTGTGTCTGTTAAGCCCCAAAACTAGCTTAAAGCATATTTAGTTGGTTTATGTATGCAAAGGTAAGCAACATAAACTAGTTTATAGTTTATTTAGTTAACTTATATGTAATGCCCCTTGATATAGTCATGTCGCAGTATACCGGTCCAAGCACTGATTACTCTTACTGGACAAAAAATATATGAGTCGACCTCTGCTAGTCGACGTCCATGAGTCGGCTCCCCTAAAGTCGACTTCTCCCATGAACTACCTAAGGATTATCTTCAACCCGATAGCGGCTCCAAGACGACTCCCTTAAGTCAACTCTTGAAGTCGACTTCCCTCGAAAAGACGAGCAGACGGAACGTAGTCTCCAAATGCTCGTACGTGAGCTAAGTCGACTCGACAATACTCGAAGTCGATCTATCCTGCCTTGAGGCACCAAGAGCTCCGACGACTCCTATTGTAACACCCCGCTTATCAGAGTAAATTTTTCGAAATTATCTTAACTCGGGATGCTACTAAAACTCATCTTTGTTAAATTAGTATGATAACTTATCTCGTTTATAAAATAAACAAGAAAACTTTCTTAAATAACAAACTTCAAATCACACCAGTTCAAACTTACTATACATAGCGGAAGTCTTTAAGCGTGGCATTTACAAACCGTTGCCTTATTGAATTTCACAAGCACACTTTAATAAACTCACAACTTGATATAAAATCCATTTGTATAAGTGAAATCACAACTTGAAATACAACCGACACCTCCACAGCTCAGCTCACACCCTCGGCTCGACCCTGTTACCTGAAAATGATAATAGTGGGACGTGAGTACTAATCAACTGTACTCCGTAAAAACTCATACTAAAGCAATCATTGATAATAATTTCAACATCATGATCATAGGTATATATAAGCTTAAACTAAAATCTCCCGACTCTATGTCGGTAACTGAACTGAATCTCTCGGACACTTTGTCCGTATCCTTGTGCACAATCTAATGAAGGCTGGCCTTCACCAAAACTCGGGATGGCATATTAAGGCTACTGCGCCTCCACCCAAAGCGGATAACTCATATACATACCTTTGAACATGATCTAGCTATTATACTCAATGAAATACCCAGGCTGGGTTCCCACCTTTCGTCTTGAACTGATTGAAAACTGAAAGTGTTGTGCTTGTAGCCAAACTTCTCGCTACATAAAAATATAAACAAATATACTAAGTACTATGCTCATAATATTCTTGATAAGACTATTAAGTTCTCAACTTTGTTTTAATACTTATCCAAATCTTAAATATCTTGATATAGTCGAATTAATTCATCGAACAACTTAACTTCTCAAACTATTACTCAAGCTATCAAATAGCTCATATAAATAAAGTCTTCAACTCACATATCATTTACATAACTTGAAGGTGAAAATAACTCATACATACAAATCATAACATCATGATTATATGTAACACTTGAAACAATTTATGTAAAATTGTTCTCAACATATATCTTCACTTATTCCATAAAAATATGAAACATTCATCAACATGAGATAAATACTAAACATCTCATTCAAACTTGGTCTTTTACTCATGAAAATATACCATATCACATATATAACATATCATGCACTTATCATAAAATATAACTTGAATACTTTACTCAATTATAATCCATCAACTTATATGAATCATACTTTATAACTTGAGATATTGACTAGTAAAACTTGTAAGTGAAATAACTCTATTCACATAACTCAACTTCTCAACTTACTAACTGATATCAAACTTAGCTCATGATTCATAATAACATCAAATAAACTACTAACTCATGCAATTACATACTTATCATACTTGAACAATTTATGGAATTGCATATAATACTCAACTTATCAATTGATGATTCATAATCTTCTTAAACTTGCTCCTTATATCATGATCAAGTTATCTCATAACATTTCATACTTAATTTACATGCTTGCAAATATATTAATATCAAAACTCATCAACATATTAACCATGTAAAACTCATACTCTTACACTTAACATGAACATATTAAGCTATCAACTTCAACTTTATCACCTTATTAACATGATAAATCATATTAATTCTATTGATATCATGAATTAACATACTAACAAGTTAACTCATACAATTCTTAACATGAAATAAATACTATCATGCCAATCTAACTCATATCTCAACTTATACATGTTATGAAGAATAACTTATACTAATCATGGTATATCTCATACTTGATTCACATATCAACATAAGTTCCATGAATCATATTAACATACTTACTATTAACATGTATTTATCTCAAATACAAGAATGAATTACCTCCTTCAAGGACTTGAGGAAATTAAAAGACTTGAATTTGAAATTTGAAAGACTTGATCTTGAAGGACTTGCACTTGGAAAAACTTGAACTTGAAAGACTTTACTCCAAAATACTTTGCCCTCAAAAATCCTTACTTAACTCTCAATATAACTTTGATAATGTAACTTTGGTGTAAATTTCCAAGTCTTGAAGCCTTCTATTTATAGGCAAAACTTTTGAATTAACAAATTTAAAATAAAAATCTGATCTTAAATCATCATTTTGACTATCAACATTAGCCATCATCATCATATCATCAACTTTCACCAATTTCTCATCTACTTTCCAACCATTTCTCATCTAACTTTCATCAACTTCTCATCAACTCTTAAGACATGATTAGTCAACATAAACATCAGCTCAACATTTATAATTGACATATAATACATGAATTTACTATAATTTATGATATTAATATCAATTTCTAACATAATCTTAAATCAATTATATGCATAATATACTAACACTTTTAAAACTCCAATAAATCATAATCTTTACTATAATATCATGCATAATAAATTGATTATAATGAACTATAATTGGCACAAAAACCAAAAACTCGAAAATCTAAACTTTTATAGGTCACACGACTCGTGTCCCTTACTCACACGACTCGTGTGAAAATCCCGAAGCTAATTTCTGAAATTACCTTGAGCCACACGACTCGTGTGACTTGTCACACGACTCGTGTGACTTCACACGACTCGTGTGGCTACCCACACGACTCGTGTGACTTGAAAAACTTAAAATTCCAACTTTTTAAGCTTCAAAATAGCTTAATCTTGGAAATTAACTGATACTTTTTACTAATAACTGAATGGGATATTACACCTATACACTTCGACATAGCACAAGGAAACCTCCGAACAAGGGTGAATCCACATGGGATAAGAAGGAATCTGGATGCTGACTAAGAGGTGGATGGAATGCGAAAGTATTTCGGACATTTCGCGTAAGTCGGCCAGGGCATTTTTGGTACATCAAGTAAGTGTTTTACTCCTATATAAATGGAGTGAGGTAACCTCAAACCCTAACTTTCACTCTCTCTATTCATTTTTTCCAACTGCTGCTCCTACTGAGCAGAGCTCACGTCATCACTCTCATACTGACTTGAGCGTCGGAGGCTCTTCACTGGAAACAATTTCGGTGTTGAGTTCTTGCAGGTGTTTGCAGCAGTTTGAAGGCGATTTCGAGACGGTTCGAACAAATCGTAGCTCATTACCACCGGTTCACTTAAGATCCAGAAGTAGACCCATCACCCCTAATACTTTTTAGAAATTATGAGCTCGACTTTCAGTCCCATTTATAACAAGTTTTATTTATTTCAAGTCTTATTTAATTATTTGATGCATTTAATTATTATTATTTGTATTATATTGATTAATAAATTCTAAGTCTAAGCTATGGAAGATTCGTTCGATTTTTTATTTCAAAAGTCGAATTATTCTAGCCTAAATATCGATTTTATTTTTATATTGAAACCGATCGTTAGAAAATTGAGAAATAATTTTTATCAAGGCCGAAGCCCGATCGAGCTGAGCCTCGGCCCAAGCTCTTTCCCACACAGCACAAGGCCATTTACATCCCATAACACACTGCCCAAGATCGGCCCAAGGCCGAAACTACTTGGCCTCACGTCCACGGCCTTAGAACCGAGCCCAACTCTTATTCATTATTTTGGCCAATTCTTCATTTTATTAAGGCCTAAGTGCCATTTATATTTATTTGGCTCAATACAAATCTTATGCCTTTGACTAGTCTACATAATTTAAAATTTAATGCAAGATAAATGAGCATTAAATGCTCCCACCAACCACCCCACCAAACCCTAATTTTCATTTGGCACTATATAATATATATATATATACATATATATATATGTGTGTGTGTGTGTGTGTGTGTGTGTGTCTTCATTTCCCTCGTTTCATTTCCTCTCCTTCATTTTCCTAAGCTCAAGCAAAATATGCATAAATCCTAAGCAACACAAAAGTTCTTAGCCTTCATATATTAAAATCGGCCCTAGTTCTTCAAACCGAGCCTAGACCCGTGCAAGCTTGAGCTCGTGAGCCACAACCGTCAGAGTCCCGAGCCGCGTCCAGACCTTCACACGCTCTTGTCGTGCCCAGCACCCAAATATGTCGAGTCTAGCCGTCTGTGCACACACCTAGCGCTTCCAACTGAGCCTCAGTCCACGATCCATGCGCCAGTGGTCGTGGCTCATCCTTTGAACTGGTGCGCCAGCTAGGTCGTGCCAATAGTGTCTGCGTGTACCCGTGAGTTGCTGTGCTGGACATTGACCGCGGTCGA